TGGTATCCTAGCGAGGCTGTCACAATTATGCGGAACGAATGCATATATATATAACTTGGAATTAACATGGAACGAAATGTCATCAACATCCCCTTTTCTTTAAGAATGGAAATAGACATCAAATTTGGCACTTATTGTTAGCACAGTTCTTGAGGCTTTAATAAATTGTATAAAACTTATCACCAGTATATTACTAGCAGTAGTCTTTGGATGCAGCAGTATAAAGACAGTTCTATAACCTGTAATAACTAAAATGTTCAGAATTACACCATTACTTTATGAGATTAATTCTTTGAACATTAACACAAAATTAAACACTTGAACTTGAACACAGTTCCGGAACACCTAAAAAGTAAAAACTGGATCGAATTGCATCAGTCACACATCACTAGCGCACATAGTCCTTCAAATAGGCTGGCTCGCGAATTGTCCTTGCTGGTCGTGATGATTGCATAATGCCAGGCTCGGCCTTGGGTGCACTCGGAGTGTCTGATTGTCCAACACTGGTCGCGATCGGAGTATTGTTTCCAGGCGCGGTTTGCTTGGTACCGATATCGACATCACGCGGCCCACATCCTCGTTGTTGACAACCACACCATCGTATTGAGATGATTTGATAGGCTCACTTTTCACTGGACGTGTTGGCGTGTGATCACGAATGTTCACGTTCACTGTAGTTGGGCGTAGATGAACACGATTTCTACGATAAATCGCACCATTGGGAGTTTGAAGCGTGTACGACCTATCAGCCACTTCATCTATTATCTTTCCTTGTCTCCAGATATCAGACGGGAATTTCTTGTAGTACACATTCTGTCCTTTCCTCAGTTTCGGGAGTACTCGAGACTTCTTGTGGTAGTTACGTTTGACAATATCTCTACGGGTCATAGCTTCGACGTCACGCGGTTTTTGATGTATTGACGGCAACATAGTGCACGTACAATGTCCGAACATCATTTCGGCAGGACTCTTGCCAGTGTCCTGCCTTGGAGTATTTCTCAGTTCCAAAAGAGCTTCATATTGGTCAGATCCATCACGCAAGCACTTAATCATCATATGTTTGATGATCTTTACGGCTGATTCTGCCTTGCCATTACTCTTGGCGTAGTTTGGTGATGAGACCTTGTGATGGATTCCCCAGGATTTAACAAATTTGGCAAAGTCGTGGGAGGAGTACTGAGGTCCCCCGTCCGATACAATTTCCGACGGTACACCAAATCGGGCAAATTGCTTCTTCAGCACATTTATTACTTTGTTCGAGGTAGTTGACGTCAGGTGCTCGACTTCAATGTAGTTGGAGTAGTAATCAACACTGACGATGTAATTACGCCCCTGAATTTCGAACAAATCGGTCCGATCTTTTCCCATGGAGTACCCTCTGTATGTTGTTTCAAGCTTTCCTGCGGGTTACTAGGTTTGAGTTCTTGACATGCCTCGCAGGCATCTGCCATTTGCTTGATATCTTTGGCCATGCCGGGCCAAAATATGGTGCCTCGTGTCCTACGCATCATACTATCATAGGCAAGATGAGCACTATGTAGTCTGGCTTTCATGTCCGCGCGTAACGATTGCGGGACGGATTCACCTTTCATCACAATACCATCATGATATCCTAACGTCAGCGGCAAATTGCCTTGTCACTTCAATGCCATTTGTCTTGCATCGGGAATGTTACTGAAAGTACAGACATGATTCTCGGTCGCGGTTCAGTTTGAAACCACATCAACGCATCAGCAATGGTCAGGCAAATTGGAATTCGAAATCATATCGGTTCAAACGCACTAGAATGTTCTGTAGTCGTTTTGGCGCATCACTCAGTGGCTTTTCCAGTATCGATGCTAACGGTTTGTGATCATTTTGGATTGTAACGGCTCGTCCATACGTGTACTGATCAAAACGCTGGAGACCAAAAAGTACAGGGCCTCCTTCTCTATCTGTGCCCAGCTCAGATGTGTAGGGATGTGATGCAAATTCTATGGGTTGTCCACATTGCATCAGTACGGCGCCAATTCCATGCTGAACAACGACTTCCTTGTTGGCGTCGAAATAAGCCAATTGTGCTTTCGTGGTTCGACTTGCGAACATGACATGACCAGTTCCACTCCACATCTTTGCGCGTCAATGCACGAATGGGTTCGAAACTTGGCCACGTATTGCAAAATCGTTTCACACCAGAGACATCCTCGGGAGCTGGCCATAATTGCCTTGATCTTCTTGTCTTCGGGCTTCACACCATCACTGGTTATCGAGTGACCATGGAATGAAATCTCGCGTAGGCCAAAAGCCTTTTTATCCTCATTTAGAGTGATGTTCTGCTCCTTACACCGCTTATAGAGAGAGCGTAGTTTCCGGTCGTTGTCGCGATTAGCTGCAATCGTCGCTTCCGCAACCGGCTACAATGATGTCGTCCGCTATCGTGAAGACTCCATCTAAGTCACCTAACGCTTCAGTTATTTTCCTGTGGAAAATTTCGCTGGACACCTTGAGTCCGAAAGGTAGTCTCGCCCAACGAAAACGACCGAAAGGGGTTATCATGGTTGTGAGCTTGCTAGACTCCTCGTCAAGTCTCACGTGCCAATATGCGTCCTTGACATCTAGCTTGCTAAAACATCTAGCCTTGCTTAACTTTGGCAATACATCATCCAACACTGGGAGTTTGTGGTGTTCACGCATCAACGCCGTGTTAAGGGCTTGAGGGTCGATGCAAATGCGCAGCTTTCCATTCGACTTGTGAACAACTGCCATTTGACTTACCCATGTGGTAGGTTCTGTGACTGGTACGAGAACATTGCGCGCGACTAATGAGTCGAGCTCGCGTTTGACCTCATCCTGTAGTGCGATAGGGATTTTACGACATGGCAAGGCTTTCGCAGGTATCTCCGGGTTGACCTTGAGAGATGCTTCACCGAGATCTCCAAGTTGTTGTTGGTTCACAGCAGCAATAATCTTACTGTTATTTATTGTTACTAGTCCCATTTCTTGAACTGTCTGTAGTCCAAGAAGACACATTAGCCCATTAGGTACCACCACAAAAGTCACATTGTGTGCCTCACCAGTTTTCGCATTAGTCACCTCCAGATCCGCTTCACCAAGGGGTTTCAAATCTGACTTATTCCACATCTTCAATGTTATAGATGTAGGTCGAACTTGAGTTTTTCTCACAAACTTCTGATTGATAGTGTTCACATCTGCAGCACTGTCGAGTTGGAATCGAACCTCCTGCTCGTTCACTATCATGCACGCTGACACATTCTGATGTGGCTTGGATTTCACAGCTGATAGCCAATGATAATTGTCGTCATCACTATCCTCACACTGTGTATCATTCCCTTCAACCAAATGTATCTTTTTACATTTTATTTTGAAGTGGTGTCTCCCCTTACAGTGGTCGCAGACTTTCCCATAGGCTGGGCATTTATACTTATTACGTTCATGTTTGCCCCCACAAAAATCACACTCACCATGTCTGTCCTCCGGTTTTTTGGGTCTGCTGGGTTTCACAGAGCGTCCAGCACCAGGTTTCTTATTTTCGTCATTGGAATGTTGACTCCGATTACTGTTACTGGTTTTACGATGAGCCTTTGTGACTTTGTTTACTTTAGTAGCGACTGACACACCGCCATCCCTCAATTCTTTCACATGATTTGCTGACTGTTCAAAAGCACGACACAGTTTAATAGTTCCTTCTAGAGTGTTACTGTCGTCTTTCAATAACTGTAGCTGAAGCTTACCTTGACATGAGAAAATAATCTTGTCTCTGATCAGACGATCCTTCAAGGCGCCAAAATTACATCGATCGGCCCTGTGTCTCAACTCCGTAAGGAAAATGTCGAATGGTTCCTGCCACAGTACACACCAGAATCTGTGTTATTCAATAACCTCATTCGCTCGGGGATTACAGTATTTCTCAAGTTTTTTGAGTACTTTATCGGGATCCTTATCATCATTCTCGTTATCCCATGTGAATTGATCAAACAGTTCAACCACGTGTGGACCCGCACAATGCAAAATAATAGCAACTTGGGTTACATTGTCCTTCGCCGCGGTACCGCTCGCCGACATGTAAATTTCCACTTGTCGTTTCCATTTCCGGAAATTTTCGGCAATATTACCTTCCGTAATGTTTAGTTTCTCCGGCAAACGAAATGCTGCTTCTGCCATGTTAAGTTTACCGCTGCCACCATGTGAATAACTATATCTGGTCTAACAGGACCGACAGAATACAGATAACACTAACACGTGTAGCCGGCATGATCTACTGTATTCGACTGAAGCACATGGTACCACATAGGTAGACACAAAATTGGGATTGGTATCCTAGCGAGGCTGTCACAATTATGCGGAACGAATGCATATATATATATATAACTTGGAATTAACATGGAACGAAATGTCATCAACAGTTCTGACCTGGACCTTGTGAATACTGTAATTTCTGAAAATAAGATATCAGGAAGTATTAATCAGCATTTCATTGAGATGGCCACGTATAGTCTGTTTCATGTACATGTACATATTTACGCATAACTCTACATCCCCCTTTTTGGGTATTCTACGAGAAATATGGAATTATCTCACAACATTAACTAAATGTAATGAACTCAATAAAGCTATTCAAATTATTAATGTCTCGAAGTTATCTTTTGACCAGTCTTTGCAATGAACACATTTCAAGAGCTACCTACTCAAAAAATTAAAATCTAGGAATTAACACAGTCAATCATCTAAAGTTCACAAGTCCATCCGGTTTGGAGCAACCGAGACTCTGCCTGAGCGAGTAGTGATCACGTTATCACTTCTAGAACCTACACCTATCTCTGAACTATTACTGACATGAACAGATGCATTTGACACAGTCTTTGACTTTGGAGACCCAGCTGGCTTTGGAGCCTTTACTGGGGTATTATACATAGTCTCTGCATTTGGTTCCTTCACATCACTGGGAAGGTCTCCGCATCCGGCACTGGTGTGCGGGTTGTCCGCCCTCATAGCTGGAGCTTGGACCAGCTGTCTCCTGTTCCGACGAATCTGACCTGACGGTGTACTGACGAAGTATGAGCGATCATTCATTGACTTAGTGATCGTTCCACTGAACCCTCCACCGGGTCCCTTCACCCACACTGTTTCTCCAGGGTGTAGTTCCGGATGTTGAACTGTGCGATGTGATCGATCAAAGTGGTGTCTTTGGGATGTTCGATCTATCCGTTCCTTGTCTCGAACATACTCAAGATCTGGCCACTTAGGAGAGAGATTAGCTGGACTCTCCGGAAGAGTTGTACGGAGCTTCCGGCCCATTAGTAGTTCGGAAGGACTGTAACCGTTCCGTAACGGCGTAGCACGATATGCTAGCAATGCTAGATACGGATCTTGAGAGCCACTAAGTAGACGTTTCATTGTCTGAACTCCTCTCTCAGCTTTCCCATTCCCTTGAGGGTAATGAGGGCTACTGGTTGAGTGATTGAATCCAGTCTTTCGCAAAGTCCTGAAATGTTGAACTAGCGTATTGTGGACCGTTGTCCGATATGATAGTCTCTGGTATTCCATGTCGCGCGAACATCGATTTGAGATGCGTTACTATCGCCTCTGATGTTGTGGAGCTCAGCTTAGCGATCTCTATGTACCTAGAGAAATAGTCAATCACCAGTAGATAGTTGACTCCTTTCCAGTAGAAAAGATCTGATCCCAATTTTTGCCAGGGACGATCTGGGAAATCTGTAGGCATGAGAGGTTCTGGTCTCTCTATCCTGTGCTTAAGACATGATGGACAAGTTTTAACAATATCCTCGATCTCTCGGCTGAGACCAGGCCACGGCACTTTACAATGCCCTGGTGTCCCTCGTGTAGTTTCTGTAATACTTCTGCTCTCATAGATGAAGGAATGACAAGTCTACTTCCTCTCATAAGCAAACCATGACACACTGAAAGTTCCTCCCTCAACTCTCAGTATGGTCTAGTGGAGACGGTGATCGTAGGATGTTCATATCCGGGCCATCCATCCTGACAGTAATTCATAATGATTTTACAAACACTGTCTTCTTGTAGTTTCAGACGAATTTCCTTAAGGCGATCTTCTGTTGCTGGCAGATCGTCTACAATAGCGTCAACATAAGCTTCAACTTCGTTTTGAAACTCCTCCTCAGATCCTTGCTGATCCAAAGGGGCTCTGGACAGAGCGTCCGCGGTATACAGTAATTTACCGGGCACATGCGCGATGCTGTAGTCATATCGCATATGGCGCATCCTAAACCTCTGAATCCTTGGGGGTAAATCAGAGATTGCCTTGGAACCTAGTAGGGAAACCAATGGCTTGTGATCGGTCTCAATATGGAAGTGTATTCCTGTGAGCAAGTCTGACGACTTCTCGCACATCCAAGTTACAGCGAGTGCTTCCTTCTCCAGCTGTGCATACCGCTGTTCTGTAGCGCTCATAGATCGTGATGCGTATCCGACCGGCCTCCAGTCGTCCTCACCACTGTCCTTATGACGTTGGAGTATGACGCCCCCTATACCGTAAGATGATGCATCCGCAGAAATCTTGGTAACTGCCATGGGATCATACAATGACAGTACTGGCGTAGAGCTGAGGTCCTGTTTGATTAACTCAAATGCCCGTGATTGAGGTTTGTCCCACATCCACGCGCTATCCTTCTGTAGTAAGTCACGGATTGGTTTGGAATGCTCTGCTATGTTTGGGGTGAGAATCTTCCAAGCTGGTTCACCATTCCCATAAATCTTCTCACCTCAGTAACATTTGTAGGAGCTTCAAAGTTCACAATAGCTTTAACCTTTGCAGGGTCTGGGCGAATTCCTGCCTCATCTATGACGTGACCGACGAAAGTGACTCTTTTCTGGGAGAACTCGCACTTGTCGCTATTTAAGGTAATACCCGCTTTCTCAACTTTCTGTAACACAGTATCTAGACACAGATCATGTTCCTTCTGGGAAGTTCCAAATATCAATACATCGTCCATCTGACAGACAACTCCAGGCACATTATCTAGTAGATTACACATCCTTCGTTGAAAGTGTTCAGGTGCCGATGATATGCCGAAGGGTAGGCGGTTGAAACAGTACCGACCAAATGGGGTTATGAAGGTTGTCAACAATCTTGAGGATTGTTCTAGTGGAATCTGCCAGAATCCTGAGTTTGCGTCGATTTTAGAGAAGACTTTAGCTCCTGTCAATCGATGTAAAGTCTGTTCTACGCTTGGGAGTTGCAGGTGTTCCCGGCGAACCGATTTGTTGAGTTGTGTAAGATCAACACATATACGGACAGTTCCATCCTTTTTAGGTACCACTACTAGACCTGAGCACCAATCCGTTGGCTCCTCGACAGGGGAGATAACCCCTAAGCTCTCCATCCTGGCAAGTTCAACCTTGACCTTGTCCATAAGTGGAAGTGCTACGCGCCTTGGCGAAGTGAGAGCAAATGGTGTGGCATCGTCGCGAAGTTTGATAGTGTAGTCGCCTTGAATCTTACCAAGTCCACTAAACAATTTCGGATACTTTTCCTGAATACCTACAGTTGCCTGTACTGAAGCCACTGTTTTCACAAGGTTGAGCTTTTCAATAGCTGGTCGACCTAGTAAAGGCTTACTCAATGTCTTGATGACATAAATATCTGTCTCAGCCCGAGTTCCTTTCTCAGTAGATAATGTACTTGAAAATTTTCCCAACACTTTGAGACGGTTCTGACCTGGACCTTGTGAATACTGTAATTTCTGAAAATAAGATATCAGCAAGTATTACTGAAAATAAGATATCAGCAAGTATTAATCAGCATTTCGTTGAGATGGCCACGTATCAGGTACAACCCCCAGAAAATTTTACGTTCACTAAACCTGAGGAATGGCCCAAATGGCTGAAAAGGTTCGAACGGTTTCGAGTAGCGGCAGGGTTAGGAGCCAAAGAGGGCCCAATCCAGGTCAACACATTTATATACTCGATGGGAGGTCAGGCTGAAGATATTATCAAGTCGTTTGGTCTGTCTGATGATGACGCGAAAGATTACAGGAAGGTTGTAGAAAAGTTCGACAATTACTTCATAACCAGACGAAATACTATATTTGAGAGAGCCAGGTTCAACCACAGAAGACAAAACGAGGGCGAGTCTGCAGAAAGCTTTATTATGGCACTGTATGCATTAGTAGAGCACTGTGAGTATGGAGATTTGAAGTCAGAGATGATAAGAGACCGTATCGTTGTAGGCATTCGCGATAGTCGGTTATCAGAGAAACTACAGCTTGACGCAACACTTACTCTGGAGAAGGCCGTAAACCAGGTACGACAGTCAGAGGCGGTCAAGAAACAACAGGCAGTTGTAAGAGACAAAGACCCTATTGCAAGTAGTAGTCAGGCAAATAACAGTGTGGATGTGGTGTTCCGGAAAGGCAATAAACACAAATTCTCAGGAAACCGGAAGTCGTCAGAAAACCGGAAGTCCACAGAAAACCGGAAGTCATCTGATACTCGGTCAAATCCAGAATGTCATAAATGTGGATTTAGACACAGGAAAGGGAGCTGTCCAGCGAAAGATGCAGAGTGTCGGAAATGTAAGAAAAAAGGTCATTATGCGAAGAAATGTCGTTCGACAGTCGGTGAATTGCAAACCTTTTTAGGAGCAGTAGAGAGTGAAGGAGCCTTACCATGGACCATAGATCTAGTGGTTCAGACAGGTCAAAAGGATACACTAGTACGGTTCAAGATTGATACAGGGGCAGATGTTACAGCTATACCCGAGAGTGTCTTTCAACGAATCGGTCAGAAGTTGGAACACTCAACAAGAATTCTAAAAGATCCAAGTGTTTGTCAAGTGTCAACCCACATAACATGGTGTCAGAATGTGGAAATCATCAGTCGAGCGGTAAGAGGTTACCATCGCAGTGAAGTCATGCGATATAAACAGTTTTAATGTGACTTTCACGCAGTACTCAGCGGCAGTATCTCGCACACGTGGTTTGGCTCATGTATTCTCAGGTCTATCAGTCGGAGGTGGCGACTACGATTTGAACTTTGATGTGGTATGATTGAATACTGTAATTTCTGAAAATAAGATATCAGCAAGTATTAATCAGCATTTCGTTGAGATGGCCACGTATAGTCTGTTTCATGTACATGTACATATTTACGCATAACTCTACAATAATGATTTATCGTCTCTATGACTCTGCCCGTGGCCGGGCATTGTCCAATCTATTGGAACGGACATTTATTATAGAATTCAGATTAAAAATACGTAACAGTTGTATGGAGATTTAACCCACCACCAGCATAGCAAGGAACAACTGCCAAGCAATCTTCTGTGGAAACACGTTTATTTACAAACCCACATGGTTGTTGTAATGATAACTCATAAGATGGCGGACTGTGAACAAGTGTTTTATTCCCATAACGAGGCTCACACAAGAACCTATGACGTAACACACACACAATACAAGTTATACTAATAACTGCAATAATTAGATGAACAACATGCGTGTGATATCATTACATCTCCCCCCCCCCCCCCTTTTTGAGATAATTCATAATTATTAATACACTATTCATTATTATCAATATGCTATTATGTTATATAGTGTTACTATTAATGAATAAACAATTAAAATTTAGAAAAATTTTTTTTTTTTTCAAATTTTACCACAGTTCATTAACATGGATCTTTCTCTGTTTCCTTGCTGATCTTGGTAAATTTCTCGTCAGAGACTGCTGATACACTAAGAACTTCGTAGTCATCCTCCAGTTTTGTTGTGTCGTCAACTTCAGTCAAGTGTGCTCTACTCAAGGCATCTGCGACATGGAGTTCTTTTCCTGGTACATACTTTATGTCAAGGTCGTATGGTTGAATCTTCAATAGCATTTTCTGCAGTCTGGTTGGTGCTAAGTAGAGTGGCTTCCTCACTATGATTTCAAGTGGTTTATGATCAGTCTGTACAGAAACTTTCTTTCCGTAAATGTATTGGTGGAATTTGCTTGTGCCAAACACTATTGCCAACATCTCCTTCTCTATTTGAGCATAATGTTTTTGTGCGGTTGTGAGAGATTTTGACGCATATGCCACTGGCTGGTTGTTTTGTAATAGCACTGCTCCAAGTCCTGTTGAGGACGCGTTGACTGACAATGTTACTGGTTGTTTAACATCGTAAAACTTGAGCACAGGTTGTACTGACAAAAGACAAGTCTGGCTTGTGGTACGTCAGGTTTATTGGAGAAATAGTAAAAGCTGAAAGAAATTAAAGGTTGACATAAGTAATCTGTGTTGTGTTTTGATTCTTATTCAATTACAGATCTACAAGTGTACATATTATAATTCTACACGATTTCTATACTATATAGAACAATGAAGTGCCTATGGCTTATCTAGAACATTTGACTACTTAAATTATCTAATTCTCACCTTGAGATCATGAAACAAGTCACTTGGTAATTTTCATAAAAATGAGGGACATGTATCCTTAATATTTCTTACATGTGTACTGCACCAACACTAATGTCACATATTAGCAATTACATTAACATATTCTGTTAATGTACCAAGACCGGAACAAAATTAATAATATACCTGGCTAACTAAACTAGTAATCAGCAATTATGACCAAATCGAATCGTAGAAATGAGCCCCTTATACATGCGAGGCAAAGTTACCGCTTCAAGCTACGACACAAAGTGTGTTAACATACCTAAATTACTGTATTGCTTTACCACTTAATTACAGTTATTATGGACAATAAATTCAATTATTTATGTAAACTTACACAGTATGGGCCACAATATAGCCGATAGATGGACAATATTTGGTCAGAAAACATCTGCTTTCGTTTTTCCCATGTGAACTAGAGCGGAAATCCGAAAATAGCAAAGGGCGATAACTCAATAAGGAGCGTTCCTATAGGTATCATGCACCTAAGTAGTGAAGACTGATAATAGTTCCAGCACACTCCTCGCCTGATATGTATATATCACTATCATTGCTATAAATTATATAACATTGCTCACCTGCTTTTTAACCAAAATAAACACAAAGGAATTTGAACAGCAAAATAACAAGATTTGCCTTGACGTTTTATAAGGGAAAGTTGGCCGTGTTCTCATTCACTACAGTCAAGGCACATAATTACATTTATAGCTTGATGAATGACACACTGTCATCTCAATCTCTGGGAACAAGTTCCACAACTTCTGCCACAGGACGGATAAAGTTTGAGATCTTTCCATCGCGGACAACGCGAAGTTCAACTTTACGTACTAGTTCGTCAGTACTAGGGATCACGCGTGTAATGACTCCCAATGGCCAGTCATTCCATATTACCTGCGAATCCTTCATTATGATTACATCACCGACCTTGATATCCCGCTCTTTCTCCTGCCACTTCCTTCTAGGTTGCAAGGTAGCCAGGTACTCTTTCCGCCATCGTGACCAGAATCTTTCTGTGAGAACTTGGACCTGACGCCACTGCGAATGGTACATGTCTTTAAGGCTCAGATGTTGGAAGGTCTCAACCTGACCTTCTGATTTTTGAGTAAGCAGTACAGAGGGTGATAAGACGAATGGCTGCTCTGGGTCAGATGAAACCGGCACTAAGGGGCGCGCATTAATGATGGCGGCTACCTCCGCGAGGAGGGTGGTGAGGACTTCATGGGTGAGGTCTTTCCCTCTCCTTTCCAGCAACATTGCATCCAGGATCCTGAGAGTTACCCCAATCATGCGCTACCATACACCTCCGAAGTGGAATAAAAGTTGGGTCTATTTCAATATGATGTTTGTAGAATGATCCTTGTAATCCACTAAAAACATCTGAATATTCCTTCAGGATATCTGTGTTTTGTTTTGTTTCTGTGCTAACAGCATCAACTTTCTTTACAAGATTCAACTCTTGACATGACAAAAGTCCAATAACAGGGGTGACGTCTTGCTCAACGACATGACAATCTAGCACGTAGTATCTATTCTTGTACTCGCACTGAACCATTGCACGACCAACGGTTTGAATTCTCTCCCCTGTCAGTGTATACAGTTTTTTGACATTCTTTCTACTCACTGTTTTTCCACCTGCAGCTATGTAGTCTTTTTTCGAGATCACATTACACTGAGCCCCTGTGTCTTTTTTAAATTTCACAGATTCGTTTTTCAGTCGAAGGTTTACAAACCATTCATCATTATTTGTCACTGACTCTGTGCTGACTTTGTCCTTTTGTACAGTTCCAATAAACAGATATTCAGTGTCATCGTGTGTATCTATCACCTGTACCTTTCCCTTTCTATCTGAACAACAGTTAATTCTAAATTCTACAATTAACACAGTTCATAAATCTGATTCAGATACTGTTAACTTCCTTGGATAAGGTACTTCTGTTAGACTGTCGCTGTTTGTTCTTAAGGTAGACACACCACGGCACTTTAAACACATGTCCCTGTCCACAACTGATGATTCATCCAGAGTCAGTGTTCGTCTTTTTTTTTCTTTCTTCTTCTTTGTTCAAGACAGTGGTTACAACATCCATAGATATTTTGTAAAATGGCTCACTGATGATCGGTGGTTGTCCTAATGGAGCTTTCTCGTCACCACGTCTTCTGGCGGTCTTTTGACATACGTTACAAGTACTACAGTATTCCTGTATATCCTTAAAAATCCCTTGCCAATAGAACGAATTAACGACACGCTGTTTGGTCTTTTCTATCCTAAATGTCCCTCAAGTGGTCTATCATGTCCCAATTTAATGATATTGAGACGTAGTGCCTCTGGTAGTACTACCTGGACTCCATGTTGGGCTCCGTCACTAGACTCCCATTTCCTACGGAGAATCCCATTTTCCCAGTACAGGGCATTCCTATCTTCCTGCACAGATTCCTCAGAACTTGCAGCTTTTCTCTGAATGTTGGCTAAAGTTGGATCTTCCTGCTGAAGCTTACTAAGCACTTTAGCATTTACAGCAGAAAGTTCAAGTGGTTCCTCCTTTGTGATGTTAACTGTATCGTCCTCATTGCTGTGAGATACAGCCTCACTGATGTTGTCAGTGTCCTCACCAACGTCATCGCCATGGTCCAGGTCCACATCATTCCTCTGTCCAACATCACTTCCATTACGGACATCCTCTTGGTCCTCCTTGACGTCCGTATCGAGGTCCATTCCAAATTTAACATGGCATTCCTTTGCCTTGTCGTCAGCTAGCCTTTCTTCAGCAATGTTATTACGGTGTTGTGCACGGGTAACAACCTTCACAGCTTTTGATTTTCTCTCTATTATGTCTACCCCCAACAGGGCTTCAGCGACAAGGTCAGACACTAATCCGACCTGAGCGTGTCCCTTATAATATGGCGTGTCCATATCAACGATAGCCAGTTTGGCTGAAAATGGCTGTCCAGTCGCTGTACACAGCGTCTCCCGCTGACCCTCCAATACACAACTGGGGTCCACCAGGTCTTCTCTAATCAAGGTCATCGCTGACCCAGTGTCTTTCACGAAACTAATATCACGGCCATTGACCTCTCCTGGGACATGGATAAGTCCTCCCGTGTACTGTCGCACTAAAAATCCTGCAAGATTTTTACCCTCTCTGTTTTTTGGACATTTCCTCGCGAAGTGCCCGTACTTGTTACAATTGTAACACTGCATACTTTTCATTTGCTCTGTCGATTTCTCCTTTCTCTGGTCCCGATCAGAGGTAAAAGGTTTTCCATTTAAACTTTTACCTTGTGTTAATTTATTTATATTTCGTTCAGGTAGAATATAATCCACTGCGGCTTCAACCACACTGCTTGACCGTTTGTTACGGCGTATCCATTGTGCATGTGACACTGGCAATGCACTAAGAAAATATTCCTGTTTGAATTTTTCCATGACATCCTCTACTGAATCCACAAATCTAGTAAGATATTGTTCAATTCTTGCCATAAGTCCTCTGTATGTTTCCTTA